GATTTTGCTCTATAAAACCTCATTTGAGAAGTAGGCTCAGGGGAAGCTGGACATCGTGGCATACACCTGTAATCCTAACATTTGACAGGCAGAGGCAGGAGGATTGCTGTGAGTTTGAGACCAGCCAGGGCTACAAAGTGAGTTCAAGGCCAGCCTGAACTGCATAGTGAGACCCTGTCTCAAAAAAACAAAAGAAGAAAAAGAAGAAGGAGGAGGAAGAGGAAGAGGGTAGGGCTTGGGGGCAACCCACATTGTGGGCCCCTTCTGTCTCTCTTAGACAGAAGCTATCTTTCGCTCAATAAATATCTCCTACTTTTAACCTCCATTGTTCCTTAGAATTCATTCTTTGATTTTAGGGAACGCAAACTCAGCATATCCAGCAGGTTGGGAGTTATAATATTTCCCTTATATTATTTGGATTATTTGGAGGTCCTATGTCATCCCTGTATCACTCTCAGTTCTTCTGAGTCTATTCACAGAAGTGAAATTGCTTTATATGGCAATGCTTTTTCTTTTTAATGGCAATTTTGTTTTTCACTTTTTAAAAGACTGTTTTCCAGAGCAAATTTCTTTCTTTTCTTTTCTTATCTTTCTTTTTCTTTCTTTCTTTCTTTCTTTCTTTCTTTCTTTCTTTCTTTCTTTCTTTCTTTCTTTCTTTCTTTCTTCTTTCTCTCTTATTTTTTAGCCAGAGTCTCACTACATAGTGCAGGTGGGCCTTTAACTCACTTACATAGCCCAAGCTGACATCAAACTCATGTTGATCTCCCTGCCTCAACCTCCCAAGTGCTGGGATTACTGGCGTGCGCCACGGCTATCCAGAGCAATTTCAGTCAGATAAAAATATTATGTTGCATCCTCAAATCTGGCACAGGGTAATTTCTGGCTTTTCCTCAGTCAAAATGCCCATGAAAGGTAAAAGTTTGGAAATGTTTCAGGATGTAGAGGCAGCTGTGAACAGTGTACTACAGAGATTCACAAAAGAGGACTTCTAGAAGCTGCTTCAGAAAGTGGCAAGAATGCCAGGATCAGTGTGTTTGAAGTGAGGGGGAGACTTTGGGGGGTTTAATAGCAATTCATCTTTTACTGCAATCAATTTTTTAAAAATTAAGCATTCACTATATATATTTTTTATCACATCCTGTACATTCCCTTCTTCCCACAGTGAAGAAGGGTCCTAGTCCTTTCAGTAGTATTTTCCCAAGACTAGCCCATGTCCCCTAAGTAGTTTTCACTTGAAGTAAAAACATAGACCCTTTTCTTCTCTCTTTCCTCTTTCTGATGCCTCAATTTTTTGTCTTGTAACTGGGTTCATCAGCAAATAAATTTGATTTTGGAGACCTAATAATGGGGTAGGATGGAAAAAATAAAGATAGGTAGAAGGGAGACAAAGCAAAACACAATTTTAAAATGAGACTTTTTAGAGAAACTGCACCTTCAGGACACAAAGTTACCCAACGTCACATTGCCCTTTTGACCTTTCAGGAAACTCATTCCTAAACTCTTACATATTAAAAAAGTGTAGTAGATTGGCCCTGTGCTTTTCTCCTGTTGAAATGGGTTTTTCACCTGAAAATAGGCCATCCTTTCACCTATAAAGTGGGACTTTCACCTTAAATGAAGGGTTGGGTCAGGTTGTCACTTTTCTCTTGTACATTGAGCTTCTGATTTGCAAATTCCAGTTCGTGTGTGTGTGTGTGTGTGTGTGTGTGTGTGTGTGTGTACCGGGAATCAAACTCAGGACCTCACACATGCTAGGCAGGTGCTGCACCACTGAGCTATATCACCAGCTAGTTCAATGGAGTTCTACCTTTCGAACATAAACGACTCCCTGCTGCAGAACATAAAACCTAACTGGAGGGCCTGTACTCTGTTGTCTCCCCTCTGTACTTCTTTAATTCTGCCTGATAAAGCCTTTGTGTGCCTCTCACTGGTGCATCTGTGACTGGGTGCTGGGGAGCTGGGGACTCCTTCTAGAGATTCTTTGTAGGTTCTTTCTGTCCTGAACACAGAATTAGACAAAACAAGCACACAAGGTAATGAGCTTTTATATTTATTAAAAGTAGAAAAAGAAACATACTGTGCAGAGCAAATGTGGGCCAATTAAAAGTAGAAAAAGAATTATTTTCTACAGGATGAGAGCAACCAGTGTGAAAGAATACAGTGGCCAAGAGCTTAATGGCTGCCATTTGGGTATCTCCTACTCCTTAGTTTGCAGTCAGATGTAGGATGTCCTGTCAAAAACCTGCCTGAGTTCTAGCTAGAACAGAAGATAGCACTTTCTGATTGGTTCCAGATGCAGGACTTTGCAGCATGCATCCTGGATCTCTGTGATAGGTCACACTCACTTCACCAACTGGTTGGCCACGCCCTAATCTCCTGCCTATGTCCTGTAATTCTTTTGTCTCATGAGAGTCAGCTCAGAGGTCCCCAGCTCCTCTTTGGGGAAACTTCTTGGACCCCACTTGTGACAATACAATGACAAAATGCTAGAAACCTGAAGGCGGATTCGGGGATCTATTTTCATCTGCAAGCTTCCACGGTCAGAGAGGACGTAGTAGAATGACCTGGTAAATCCTGCTATGTTTTGCATTTTTCTCTAGCTCACAAGAACCTCATTCTTTTCCTTTTAGCTGATAGTTAACCCATCTTTGAAGTTAGTTCATTTTCACCCATAAAATACTTTTTTCCTTTTAAGGTTAATTATACTGGACTGACATTTCCTTGTGGGGATAAACCAGAAGTGCCAAAATGGAACAAACTTCTTATCCTGTGGCTGAACTAAAACCTGGAGGTTGGATGAAACTTGTTCCCCAAAGTGGGTCCCAGAGAGGGACATCTGGCAGGTCCCTGCTCTCCAGACTGCACGGGGGCTCCCTGCTGATCTGCAGCAGGTAAGCAGGAAGGGTTCCTGGGCTGTCAGCTGGCTGTGCGAGGTCTTCGGGGACGCGCTCCAGGCAGTGGAGGAGCAGGAAGTCGGAGCAGCTGGAGGAGCTGTGGGTAGGGAGTTCCTTCGGTGACAGCCTATTCATTTCTGCACTCCCTGGCCAGGCTCTCCGCTTCCCCGCTCTCAGGCCTCTAGGGCCTGTGCTTCAGGAACTTGGAGACCAGTGGGCTGGATTTGGGAGTTGTTAGCTCCCCTCGCAGAGATCCCACGGTAAATCTCAGCAGGCACTGGCAAAGTTCAGAACACTAAGCGTAGCCTCTGGACAACATAGACTTCTATTTCTTCTTCTTCTGTTTCTTTATTTTTATTTTCCCTGAAAGGATACACTTTTCCATGGTCACATAAATCCTGGAGAAAATGGTATTTACAAGGGTCAGACCGAAGTTCTCTTTGCATCTGCCTTGGTGCTTGTCTGTTTCAAAACACAGCTGATTTCTGTGTTGCTCTCCGAACTCTCCAAGGCTGGCCAGGTGTTCTGAGGCTGGGGGAGGGCTCTCCCTGCTGATGAGGGGCAGCGCAGCATCAGTGGGGTGGCCGCGCAGGTTTCTCTGGCCTCCCCTAATCACTGCGTACAGGTGAGGAAGAGGCAAGCTAAGGGCATGCAAACAGTAAATCCGTCTGTCCACAGAGCTTCTCTGGGGACAACAGAGCAGGAGAAAATGACCGAATGTGTTAGTGCGCAGAGGACTTGGGAAAGTCCCTCCTGTGGGTAACCAGGGGTGACATGTTCGCGTTTTATAGCTGAGATGATGACCAGGGATTTGAAGCACACAAAAGGTCACACAGGTCAACACTTATTGAGCATCTACTGTATGCTTTGTTCTATGTGCCATGTCAGGACTAGCACTACTGAGATAAATAAAACAGGACCCTGGTCTTCAAATAACTAACTGCATGTAGCACAGCAAGTATTTGTGGTATAATAAAAATATATTCGGTCTTTGCCCTCACTTCCTGGCACAGAGCTCCTAAAACCCTTGGAATTTCTGGAGTGGTAAGAATGTCTTTTGTTATTCATAACCTCTTGCAACCTTACCTGAGTTGATGCTGTAAGGTGACGCTGTGGCCCTTAGAGAGTTTCAAGGCCTCCCACAGAAGATACTGGCATTTTCAATGCCTCCCCAGAAGAGGGGATAGAGACAGAATTCATTCACACTGACCAAGTAAACCCGGATGGAAATTCTCCAACGACAAGGCATGGAGAGTTTCTGGTTGGTGAACACCCTGGCATCCCTTCCCACACTCCTTGCGCTGTGTATCTACCTGGTTCACCTGTGTCCTAACTGTAACTGGAATGTATTGCGGTGTTTCCTGAGTTGTAGGTCACTCTAGAGAGTAAGGAAGGCTGGCTGGGGATTATGGGAAACCTCCAATTTGTAGTCAGTTTGGCGGGTATGCGGATAGCCTGGGGACCCCATTTGCAGCTGTCATCTGAAACAGGGCAGTCTGTGGGACCGAGTCCCTCACTCCACCCGGTGAGCCTGCGCTACGCAATTCTGGGGAGTGTCAAATTGGATTGAGTTTAATGTGGTGTCACACACCGGTAATCCATCCCAGCACTCTGGGAGGCTGAGGCAGGAAGATCAGGAACTTGAGCCCAGCCCCAGTGACTCTGCAACCAAGTGAGACCTGATTCAAAATGAAAAAGAGTGGGGATATGGCTCAGGCCTTGGAGGGTTAGACTTCAACTTCTCTTTTGGAAGGTCATGATTCAGTCCATAACCCTGAGCTCCTGAGCTCTTGAGCAGGACTCTGCAGGATGCTGTGCTGCTGAC